CCTTTAAGTATTAAATCTATTACATTTTCTAGTAATAAAGTTGAAAATGTACATTAAATTATTTTATGTATATAATGTAGCAATACATAATGCATTACAATGTCTATATTATGTCATTGAGATTAATTCAGTGCACAATTGGCTTTATGCATATGCTGTACATATGCAATGGTTTATGACCTAATTGTACTCTAATCATGTTTTTATAAATATTTGATCATATTTCCTAATGGCATGTGAAGGATCTGTATATGCACAACGTGTATTACATTTACATAGGACAAGCAGATTCATAGTACAGCTGTTTGCAACGCTGTAAGTCAAGAAAAAGGAGTCCAGAGACCTCCCAGGTTCAACATGTGCTGCTATACCTAATTACCGGAGATCTTTCTAGTCTTCTTCAGTCACTACCTCTCAGAAGGTTATATGCTATAAACACATAAATCCTATGAACCTACCTGCCTTTCTGGCAGCTGTTTCCTTTCTACATTCTAGGTAATGTCATAGCCATAGTCCAGTATTGCGCCTCCCAGGTAGCCTGTGTGTGGTATCAGCCCCATCTACTCTGTCCTGTGACTGTCCATTATTATACACTGTCGTTCAGTGGGAGGATGCCCATATTTCTCTCTAGTTACTTTCTGCTCCAGGCTACAGGATATACAAATACCGATGTCTCAGTCTGGAGCATAAAACACAGCACTATGTTACATATGTTAATGGCTCCTAGTACATTAATTTGGTGTCACCAAATCCATGTTGCTATCTCCAGATACCAAAAGAGTTCAAAATTTAGGGCCAGTTCAAGCAAATCAGTTAGCTATAAAGCAATATTTTGCACATATGAAAAAAATATTACTATGTCTCAAAAGTACAGTTGTCATGTTAAATAAAATGAGATGAATTTGTAAAGCAGGAAGAAGGGATCATTTACTAAAATAGTAATTAACCTGTGCTCACTTGGAAACTGCAGCCTGGAGCAGAGGAATGTAAAAGTTGCTAATTTCTATTGCATAATAATATTAATTATTATTATTGGTATTATTATGTTAATATGTGATTTATTATTTATATGAATAATTATTGTTTGTTCTTTATTATTTATTTGGATGATTATTATTGGATGATGATCCATATTACTATTATTATTATTATGTTAATATGTGATTTATTATTTATGTGAATAATTATTGTTTGTCCTTTATTATTTATTTGGATGATTATTATTGGATGATGATCCATATTACTATTATTATTATTATTATTATTTAATATGTGATTTATTATTTATATGAATAATTATTGTTTGTCCTTTATTATTTATTTGGATGATTATTATTGGATGATGATCCATATTACTATTATTATTATTATGTTAATATGTGATTTATTATTTATATGAATAATTATTGTTTGTCCTTTATTATTTATTTGGATGATTATTATTGGATGATGATCCATATTACTATTATTATTGGTATTATTATGTTAATATGTGATTTATTATTTATGTGAATAATTATTGTTTGTACTTTATTATTTATTTGGATGATTATTATTGGATGATGATCCATATTACTATTAGTATTGTTATTATTATTAATATTGTTGTTCATGTTCTTTTGATTTCATTACTATTGTAGGGAATACAGTTTACATATTAGGTAATAATGCACTCCTATATTTAACGATAAGTCAAAACAGTGGAACTAGGGGACTGTCAGCTTGAAATGTTTCTTATCAGTTGCCATTATTTTATTTATTGTATTTGGTTACTTCTACTAAAGAAGTTCTTACACGAGGATTCACTAAGTATCCAAAAATGGAAGAATAGTCTAAACCTAATAGAATACATATACACACACACATATATACACACACACACACACACACACACACACACACACACATATATATATATATATATATATATATATATATATATATATATATATATATACACACATTTAAATATATTGATTATGTCTATGTATAAAAAAAAGTAATACAACTTTACCATCTGCATAAAAAAGGTTAATAATGCGGGTCCATTGAACGATAAGACAAGTCTAGTATATCGATAAGTATACATCCATGTTACCTGTGATTCGATAGAGATCGGCAGTTGATTTGTGTAGGTAGCATCTCACCTTCCTTGAGTTGTCTCTGGTATTGCAGACCGTTTTTACTGACAGCCAAATGAACGAATTATTATTTATGTAGCAAAATATTCTATGATGTGCTGTACCTAAACATAAAATCCTAAATATGAACGTACTAGTACGAAATGGGGCGGATTTGCATCAGGACATCTTACACGAGTAGTACTTATCCTATTCACTTATCGCAGATTCTCCATATTCTCCTAGTGTGAAAGTTTTACACTTATAATTTATCACTAAAGATACAAATTAAGAGGGTTATTACTACCCTGTACACTAGTAGTTTTACATTGCATTTATTACGCTTAGACGCCATCTTAGACCAATGGCCTTCAACTACACTAACTGGATACAATTTTGTTTAGGTTTGACTTTTAAGGTTTTTGGTAAATCTAAAGCTATAAATGTATTATTATCTTCAAAACTGTGTAAAAAAAAACACAAACAAAAAAAAAAAAACCTCTGCCAAAAAGTCTAAAACGATCGACTATATCCTACTATACAGCTTTTACGTATCCCTATAAAATTTCCAGCAACAAGTGAGTCTACGCCTTTGAATTCTACTTTTTTTGTTTACAAACGGTTTTATTTTGCAAATTTGAATTCTACTTTTTAAAGTCGGATGTTACATATTTTTTTAAAAGGAAGTATATATTGTTCAGTTATTAATTATGATGATCATAATAATTATTTTTTGACTGTAATGAGACATTGAATTAGTGGTTGTAGGCAAGTGCTGAATCGACAAGGCAATACAAATTCATACACCTCTGATAGGTAGAGATCTTTGAAGTTATCAGCTATTGTAAATTACATAGAAGGAGATAACTTATTCTGAAGGTTTCCGATTTCTTGTCAGTATCTTATTGAAGCAACAATAAATCACTTGCGATCATTTGTTTCGCTAGCTATTGTAGAGTGTGATTTACTCATTTCTCAGTTGTCTCCATCTCTGTATTTGGGTGGCACCTGTAATCAAACCTGTAATCTATGGATATTTGTCTGCAATTTATACAGAAAGTCAGGCTGTGTCTTGTCTTTGTACAAGGAAATGGGAAACACATAACTTCTGTACTGGCAGGTGAAACGTGTACAACATAAAAATAGAAATATATAAATTTAAACAGTATATAAAAATATCATTAAGATAAGGTCTACCAGTTGCATATAAAGCCATCACATTACCCCAGTCAGAATATCCTGTGTAATTTACAGAAGTGTGCAGGCAACTGCTAATTACTATTAACAATATTTATTTTTACTACTTCTTATGATCACATTTTTGTGTATTGTTTCCACTATTACATCTCCCAGTCTGCTTTAGGTTCCTTTGAAGAGAGATGACTGGAAGAAAAGAGCCAAGTATAGGCAGCTCTGGCTAGCTGGCAAAAGCTATCAATGCCAGCTAGCCAGAACGAAATCAAGACTATTTATTTATATGGTGTTTCAGCTGCTGGCACCCTTTTACTATTTTTTACTATGAAACATCATTGAGATAATGAGGAATAGGGCACATTAATAAAGCAAGTACCATGCTTACTTAAATCAAAGATTATTATTATTATTATAATTATACAGAATGTATATATGATTGCAAAAAGTACAGTGTACAATACCTTATGTGCTATGAGAAAAAATAGAGTCCATTAAAAATGGACAGAAGAGGTTAATTCAAAAGAACTATATCATCATACACACACACACACACACACACATATATATATATATGTGTATGTGTGTGTGTATGTATATATATATATATATATTAATATATGGATAATATAGAGTGTGTGTAATATATATATATATATATATATATATATAATGTAATATTTCTAAATCTAATTTTACAGCTCTCTCTCTCTCTCTCTCTCTCTCTCTCTCTCTCAATACTGCTTACAATTTAAATAATATATTTGCTTCACCTGTATATTTCTAAAAAAAAAATAGAAAACTCCCCTCATTAGCATCAGCAATAAATGAGTCACCTGCTAATAAACCCGACAATTTTGTCAGCATCCTCTCATTGTAATGTACTTCGATCGTGCACATTGAACGCTGTATTAGGGGCGCCACAGGTTTTGTAATACAGTATAGTTAGAAGAAAAGAAACTTGGAACCTTTGGTAATATAAGAAGATGATAACAGTCAGTAAACGCTGGCTTTTAATGACATTTAATAATCCACCAATACAGATGAGAAGAATATGTGCATTAACACAGTGCATTAATAATGTAAGGATGACATCTATAATAGTGTCTACATTTTTGTACAGTAAAGTGCTTGCTTGCTCAGAAAACATGGACATACAGTACCACATTGGGGACCAAATATAGGTTCTTCTGGGCGACATAGGAGAGAAAACAATGTCCAAATGCTAAAAGGCTTATCTAAAAGAAATTCATCTTACAAATAATAGAACTGTCTTTACATGTTAGAAAGAGTCCAGCCTTATTCATCTTACAACTGAAAGGCAATTCATTATGAAGATACCAAGTACTTCTCTGCTTCAAACAAGAAAAGTGTGGTTCTAATGATGTCGCACATAGCCAACCCAAACACATTTATTATAGCTACACTTTATGGAAACTGATGTCGTTTTCGAGAGAATTTAACTCCTTCCAGTATAAATAGAGCACATTAGTGGCTCCCAACCTCAGACTTAAAGTACCCCCAACAAGCAATATTTTGGGGATTTCCTATAGCTGTCATAACTGTCCAACCATTGACACCGATTTAAAGCAGCTATGCAAGGTGAAGGGAATCCTGAAAACATGACCTGTTAGAGGTGCTTGAGGTTGGGAAGCACTGTTGGACATGATAGTCCCTGCAGAAGGTAAGCTAGGAATGGACCAGCACTGAGTGCAGCATACTACCCTTATTGTCCGGGTGAGTGGATGCAGATTGCTCCAGGATAGAAGCGGCCACTGTGGCTGTAGGGGCGCACATGCTAGAGGGATTGACAGTCAGGCTTGGGATGGCGGACACTGGTGGCAGAGAGGCTGTTGGTTTTATAGGGACAGGCACAGCTGGGATAGTCTGACTTGGAGCATGGCAAATAGTTTTCATTGGCATCCCAAAATGCCCATACTCTTGTGGTACTGTCATGCTTGCCATAGAGTCCATCATGCCAACATGGGGCCACATGGAGCTAACCATATTGCTAAGTTGACTGGGCACTGGGTATCCCAAGTGATGCATCATGGATGCTAATGGAAGACCACCACTCATCACCCCTTTATAATCTCTGCCAATGATGTTCTCTATAGCGAAGGGGTGCTTGAACCCTGTGGACTGGCCTCCATTGAGGCTATATGGCTGAAAGTGGGGTAGCCTCCCAATCCCTGCCACTGCAGCACTCTCTGAAGAAGTCAGCCCCAGTTTGGTTTGTCCATGCTGGTGATGAAAATAATGAATCATCTGGTGACTTTTGGAGGCCAGGTGCTCAGCTCTGTGCACTTTGAACCTTTTCCTTCTCCTCAAGAAGCTGCCATTCTCAAACATGTCCCCACAGTCCGGGTGCAGTGCCCAAAAACTACCTTTGCCAGGCTGGTCAGGTCTTCTAGGGATCTTGATGAAGCAGTCATTGAAGGACAGATTGTGCCTAAGGGAGTTCTGCCACCTCTGGGTGTTCTCTCTATAGTAGGGGAACCGGTCCATGATGAACTTGTAAATGTCACTCAAGGGTAACATCTTCTCGGTGGAGCTCTGGATGGCCATAGCAGTCAGGGAGATGTAGGAGTAAGGTGGCTTCTGATCACTGTAGGAGTTTTTCCCTGGTCGAGGCATTCTTGATTTTCTTTCCAGGAAAGAGCTAAATCCAGTTAGGCGGATTGAATTGAAAGTTCATGCAGAAAGAAGCCAAGGTCAATAAGCAGCGCAGGTCAGATGGTCTTCTTTTTATCCTGCATCAGCAGCAAGAATGAAAAGTTTGCAGGATGCTGGAGGACGAATCTCTTCAATACTCTAGCTGCAGTGTGACAGATAGGAAGGAATCAGGCAGAGGATGCTAAATGGCTGGGATCAGTAGTCCTACAAGGAGCCCAAGTGGAAGGAGTCTCATCGTGCTGCTGAGATGGGAAGGTGGTGGTGAGGAGACTCTGCCTAGGGATGCTGAGGAGCAGGAGATGCTCCAGCTCTGCTTGTTGCCTGGTTTTGTACTGATCACAGAGCAGCTAAGACCCCCGCTGCTGCCTCTTCATTATCACATGACAATCGTTAAGGGACTCCACCACAGAAAGTCTCATCTCGTTTCATTTGCACCTCTTTAGCGAGACCCTGTGTCCTAGGAGCTCGGTGTGAGGTCGCCCTGGAGAGGGTTTGGCTGGGAAGGTATGCTGCCACTTTGATCCCTTTCATTGACAGCTTTCCCTGCATTAGCAGCGCACAGCAAAAGCATTCTTGGACTAGAAGAGTTCAGTGCAGAGCATCCACTAGTTCCAATGGAATTCTCACACTCTCTCCTGCACTCACAATCATCATTACAGGCAGGCTGGATGGTGGGGACTTTTCAAGAGGAGATTCCTGTGAACTCATCAAACAGCCTTCCACTGGAAACCTACTTCATCGGTCCATTGTAGTGGACAAGTGTGCCTAACAAACAAGATCGTTGTCACTGCATGCCTCCCCCAATCAGCAACACATGATTCCACTTCTCTGAATGCCAATTATATTTTCCTGGACTCTTCATGGTAACTCTGGGAAAACAATCAAGTCATGTCTTTCCTTTTATTGGATGCAAATCATTTCTGGAGTATGTAATACCTATAGTCATCTGACAAAGATGTAATTCATCATTATATACAATCTGCCTGGAAAGTAGATGTGTGCCACTCATGGCTATTGAAACAGTACTACACCCAGAAGCAGACGTTTATTAGATTGCAGCTTACCAAGTCTGAGATCTGATGGCTGCATTAGTTTTCTTTTGTTTCTTTCTTTATTTCAGGTACTTATATAGCATCATCAATTTATGCAACGCTTTACACATATATATTGTATATTTATTTAGTCTTTATTTAATATAAGTACTTATTTAGTGCAGTCAACTTACGCAGCGCTTTACACATATATATTGTACATTTATTTATAAGTACTTATTTCGCGCTGTCAACTTACGCAGCGCTTTACACATATATATTGTACATTTATTTATTATAAGTACTTATTTCGCGCTGTCAACTTACGCAGCGCTTTACACATATATATTGTACATTTATTTATTATAAGTACTTATTTTGCGCCGTCAACTTACGGAGCACTTTACACATATATATTGTACATTTATTTATTCTTGATTTTTCATATAAGTACTTATATAGCGTCAATTTACACAGCACTTTACACATATATATTGTACATTTATTTATTATAAGTACTTATATAGCGCCATCAATTTACGCTGCTCTACACATATATATTGTACATTTTATTTATTTATCCTTTATTTCTTATAAGTACTTATATAGCGCCGTCAATTTATGCAGCGCTTTACACATATATATTGTACATTTATTTATTATAAGTACATATATAGCGCCATCAATTTACGCAGCGCTTTACACATATATATTGTACATTATTATTTATTATAAGTACATATATAGGGCCATCAATTTACGCAGCGCTTTACACATATATATTGTACATTTTATTTATTTATTTATTATAAGTACTTATATAGCGCCGTCAGTTTGCGCAGCTCTTGATACATATATATTGTACATTTTATTTATCCTCTCTTTCTTAAAAGTACTTATATCGCGGTGTCAATTTGCGCAGCGCTTTACACATATATATTGTACATTTTATTTATCCTTTATTTCTTAGAAGTACTTATATCGTGGCATCAATCTGCGCAGCACTTTACACATATATATTGTACATTTTATTTATTCTTTATTTCTTATAAGTACTTATATCGCGACATCAATCTGCGCAGCACTTTACACATATATATTGTACATTTTATTTATTTATCCTTTATTTCTTATAAGTACTTATATAGCGCAGCAGTCAATTTATGCAGCGCTTTACACATATATATTGTACATTTATTTATTTATTTATTATAAGTACTTATATAGTGCTGTCAGTTTGTGCAGCACTTTACACATATATATTGTACATTTTATTTATTTATCCTTTATTTCTTATAAGTACTTATATTGCGGCATCAATTTGCGCAGCGCTTTACACATATATATTGTACATTTTATTTATCCTTTATTTCTTATAAGTACGTATATAGCGCCATCAAGTTACACAGCGCTTTACATGTGTGTGTGTGTGTATATATACATATATATTGTACGTTCATGTCAGTCCCTAACCCTGAAGGGGCGTACAATCTAAGGTCCCTAACTCACATCCATACTAGGGCCAATTTAGACAGGAACCAATTAACCTGCCAGCATGTCTTTGGAGTGTGGGAGGAAACCCATGCAGGCACAGGGAGAACATGCAAACTCCTGGCTTGTGGTGTCATGGTTGGGATTCGAACCAACGACCCTAGTACTGCCAGGCTGAAGTGCATTCACATCAGTCCCTAACCCTCAAGGGGAGTACAATCTAAGGTCCCTAACTTACATTCATACATACACATATTTTTTTTTTGAGGATTTCTTTCTTTTATTTTCACCTGGTGACCCAGCCATGAGAGTGTTACTAAACCCACAACAGTAAAATCAGTCTGTATATGCAGTAAAGCATGCTTGTTATACTCACTGTGGAACCTAAGGGGTTAATCCTCCACATTGTGTAAAAAGGCTGTTTGATCTTGATTTTCTGCCCCTCCTTGTTCAAATGTCCACACTGATAAGACTGACTGAACCTGTAGCCCTTCTGCATATGTTCAGTTTAGTGTGTATTGCTAGAGGTTTATTTTTTTCTTGGAGGAGTGCATGTGATCAGTACAGGGCCAATCAGCATTGTCCATATAGAGGTCAGGGGTTTTGCATCCTCCTAGAGCAGAAATAAAACTCCTCCTACAAGCTTTAACATGTGCTTGGCTGGACACTGATAGAAGTCACAAGACTGCTGTAACTGCTGATGAGCAAAGGTATTTAGCAGTTTATATTTACTAAAGTAATTGCATGTCCATGTTCTGTGTACTGTGGGAGATCAGATATAGTGAATGCAGGGTCCTGGGTTTAGTAATACTTTCAATCATATAGGATTGGCAACAAAGTGAGGATGAACTGTAGAGACTTTATTTGAATACAGAGTATAAAAATGTTCCAGAAGACAAGCAACACTAACGCGTTTCAGTCAAACAAGACCTTACTCATAGACTGACAGAAGCCTGGTCCAATTAGTAACTTCCTTTCTGGCTTCTGTCAGCCTATGTTTGTATTGATGCTTTTCTTTTGAGTTACTTGGATCATACCAATTTATAGTAAGGTGAGACAGCGGTAGAGTGGCGGATGGTGTACTAATATTTTTTTACCATCCTTTGAGGTACTGATTGCTCCTTGGAGCTTTTTAGCCCCTTTTTTAGTGACCCAGCCATTAAAGTGGTATTAAACCCACTTTGTATATTTTTAAATTAATATCTCCTCAATGTGCACCGTTTAGGAGATATTCAATGTTTTTTGCAGCCTGCACATGCGCTCTGAAGGAATGGCATGCACGTGCCATTCCTTCAGAGCATTGTGCCATGTCCCAAGACTCCTGTGTGCATGCTCGAGAGTGCCATCTGGACCAGCTAGTCAGATGGCTGGAGTTCGCAAACCTGGAAGGAAGACGGGTGAAAATGGAAGCCTCTACAGTGGTGACAGCTCGACGCTGGAGGGCTTTTTTTTAAGGTAAGGTTTACATAATGTGCTAGTATGTGATTCATGCATATTAGTCTTTACCTTGCAGGGGATTTTTTTTTTGTTATAATGGACTTGGTTTACAACAGAATAAGCTGTCCTGCATTTGTAGCAGTTAGAGAGTTGGGACAAACCATTTGATGACAGGTGCTTACAATGATCAGCTTTTATTTATTTATGTAAAACCCTTTATCCCAAAAGGAAAACAAAAATCTGTTGTAATTGCGTATAAAGTATTACCTGGAGTTTGGCTTCAGAATGTTAGTGTTTTTAAATCTTCTAGTCCATCTAACACTCCCCTCCCCCCAGACTGACAATGTTGCTGTCAAAAGGTTCCCCTTTGCTCCTTCATCCAGAGTGTAGGCCCTGTAATATAGGAGGCGTATTACTGGCCAAACATTACTGGGGGGTGTCAGGACAAGTCTGATCATTGGAGGAGAACACATGGAGATTGATTTACTGAAGAGTACTGTGAATCTGGTGCAGCTCTGCATAGAAACCAAACAGCTTCCAGTTTTTTTTTTTGTCCAAGCTGAACAAGCTGAAGTCAGAAGCCAATTGGCTATCATGCACAGCTACACCAGATTTTGCGCACTCCAAGCGGCCGCATATTTGCGTACCATTTGAAAATACATATGTGCTGAGAGCGTGCACTCTGCGCGCTCCCAACACATATGTCCGTGGCTCACGGAAAGGTCCCAATCCCCCCCTTGCGATTGGGACCTTTTCCAAGCATGTGACCGCTGTGACAGCGAATCATGGCGGTCACATGACCTTAAAACCCCACCTCCTGGCTTCTGAAACTCTTAAAGGGCCGGAGGCGGCGGCGCAAAGGGGTTAATTTATCTAATTTCAGTTCTCAGGAAAAAAATCCTCTCCTCTGTCCCCCTGTATATAGGTGTCCGTTTATGAACCAGCGGTAATAGATCGCTGCTCAGTTCTCCGGCATTCTGGGAGAACACAGTTCTCCTGTGA